TTAGTAATATCTGGTCTTTGTTTTAATATTTCCTCTTGTTCGGTTAGTTTATTGGTTAATTCTTGCTGGTTTTCCTGAACTTTTTCTAATTTATTATTAAGATTATTTATTTCTTTATCTTTGTTTTGTAATTCATTATCTTTTCCTTGAATAATTTGGTTGCGATTAGTTAATTCGGTTTGGGAAGTTTGTAATTTTTGTTTGGTTGAACTTTCACTTTCTTTTAACTGGTTATTTTTAGTAGAGAGTTGGGATTTTTCTTGCTTTAATTGTTCTATTTCTCCTGCTAATTCTTTCATCTTGGCAATGAAATCAGCCCGAGGAACTTTGCCACTAATTCCTTTCTTTTTAGAATTTAATCATTCTTCGGGGTTGAAAGGTTGGTTCATATACTAAATTTTTTTGCTCGAAAATTAAAGGTTGATCAGAAATTAAAATTAAATTATTACATTATATATATGACAGAAGAAAGAAAAGAAGAAATTATCAATAATGAAAATGCTAGCACTGAGAAAGGCAAAAGATTTAAAGATATTACAGAATCCGATGATTGAAAAGCGGCACATTTGGCTGACAAAAAAGAGGTTGAAATTCATAGGGATGAATGGAAAAGAAAGTTTCGTGAAGCTGATAAAAAGAATATTGATTTAGCCAAAAAAAACCTTAAATTGATGGAAGAAATAGAGAATTATGAGAGAGATGATTTGTCTAGTAGGAGAATTCGCGGTCAAGATGAAATTGATGAAAAAAAGAAAAAAGAACGAGAAAAACAGTTATCTAGGTTCTTAAATAAGATAAAATAATAATATAATGCCTTGTGAGGTTGTTCTTCCAAGGCAAAATTACAATTGGAGTTATTTTCCCAGAACTCGGGAAAAGATAATTTTAACTCCAATTGTTTATCTTTTCTCAGTTCTTGAAAAATAAGAACTATGAATAACGAAAACATTGTATACGATTTATTGACAAATGCAACTACTGCAGAAAAAGTTTTAGACTCAATTAAGGAGGAAAATTTTTGAGTTGCTGAATATATGACTGATGCAGCAATAATCAATGGGGATACTGCTGAATATTTTTCTTCTAATCCTGCTGGTGGGGCAAAATATAAAAGTCCTAGAAAAACCGGTGGAATGAAGTGGGATAATGACAAAGTTTACAAATGTGTTGTTCCTGTAATAGTAGATGAAGTTTTTCAAACCAAAATTACTAAAGACATGTTGAGAATTGCCACTGGCAGTTCTGAAAAGGCTGAAATGATTGCTGCTCTACAAGCAAACAATTTGCGGAAAAAACTTAACATGACAATTATGAGCAAGTGTGTTGAAGTTATTTGTCAAAAAGACAATTTTTCCGCCGAGTCTTATATTGAAATGGAGGAAAAAGATTTTAACAATGCTGGTAAGTTTTTGAAAGTATTATTTTCTGCTGCCGAAATGATGAAGCATCCAACTGATAAATTCAATAAAGGTTTCAAGAAAAAGAATGGAGATTATGAAAAAACTATTTACTCTTCCGGAAAATTAAAAAATATGATAATAGTTTTGGACACCGAAAAAAAAACTGATTTGAGAATGGAAGGTTCTAAAACTTATAACTACACTTTAGTAGATTTGCAAAGAGAATTTAAGTCAGTTCACGATACTATTTTGCCAGAAGGAGTTGGAGCTTTAATAATGGGTGAAGAAAGTTTTGCCCTTAATTGACAAATTGAACCGAAATTAATTATTCAAGACCACGAAAATGATCCTTTAACTAAAAAAGTTTCCTTACCAGGATTTGTAGTGGGTGGCCCAATCAGTTTTGCCAATATGGCGATTATTGTTAATAAAGGCAAAGTTGCTACTTCTACTAAACCTAAAAAAGATATCTTAGTAGATTTCGCTGAATTAGAAGATGATTCCGATAAAATGACTAAAAAACAAAGCGAAGAATGGAACAATAAAGGTTTCACTTTTGAACAAGCTAAAGAATGGTTGGGTGCCGGCTTATTAGTTTCTGATGCCAAACTGGCAGACTGATTAGTTAATACCAAAGGAGGAGATTATGCAAAATCTGAATGAATACTAGACAATGCCGGTTCAACAGATGGAGTTAAAAATATTGACGAATTAAGAACCGAAGCAGGAGTATAGTTTTTTTAAATGACCGATTTCACTAACCTCAACTTAGGGAAATTACCCCAAATTCCTGATTTAAAACTTTCGGTTGAGTGAAATTCAGTCGCTTCTTATGTCTGAGTATTAGAAGAGTTAACTGACTACTACTTAGGAATTTCGAATTTAGAAGGAGTTGGTTGGTTATTCGATAATTGATTGCTAATCGAAAAAGAATTGATTATGCACGGCAAAGTTGCGGTTGTCTATTACGGAAAGAAATTTTTGATAGCCAACATTAACGATATAGAAAGTAATTTTGAAGGGGAAATAACCAGACTAGACATTACTTTTCTCGGCGATGATAAAGTTAGAGATTTTTCAAAAAAACAAGATAAGGTAGTCATTTTTCGCAACAATTCTTCAGAAAAGGGAGATTTCGCTAATTTAATTAATGAAACTAAAAAATTAGATATTTATTTAGAGTTGATTAGGCATAGTTTGGAAATGACTAAGGATGTTTTGATAGTTAAAACTAAGGGAAAAATTTCCACAAAAGCGGAGCAAAACATCATAGGGGGGTTGGCAAAAGGGAAATTAATTAATATTTATTATGAAGATAGAAGAACTAAGCAACCAGTCGATCCTAACTCTTACTCTTACGAATTAAAAGGAGGGGATTGAAAGCAAAGAGAATTTTATTGAAAGGAGTATAATGGAATTTTGGAAGCAATTTATCATAAATATAAGATTAGGCATATCGATTCAGCAGATAAATTTTCTAGAACTAATAATCCAGAAGTTTATTCCAATTTAGCCATTTATTGAGCTTGGGAAAAACGTAGAGGGCAGGCTCGAGAAGTGGGGATTAGAGAGTTTATGGAAAAATTTCCTAAAGAGGGAAAGTATCAGTTAAAATATGGGTTTATTTTTTCTTCCCAACAAGAGGAAGGAAAAGTTTCAGAAGAACAAAAAGAGGAAAAGGAAGAAGAAAAAGAAACAGTTGAAGTTATTGAGAAAAAAGTAAAATAATAAAAAATATAATATATTGCTTTGTGAAGTTTTGCATTTGCACTTTTTCAAGGTAGGTAATCACAATTGGAGTTATTTTCCCAGAGTTTGGGAAAAGGCAATTTTAACTCCAATTGTTTGTCTTTTTCCTACTCTAGAAAAATAAAAAATGAATCAAGCCTTCCAATCTTCATTAGCCCTTTTCAAAAAAACCCTATTAACTGAACAAAAAACAGCTAATCAAACCCTTTTTAAACAATTAATCAAGACTGAACTTCAAAAACTAGGTCAAAGAGGAGTTAGTAAAGAAGAAATACTTAAATT